AGCAGGAACCAGCTTTGGTGAAAGATCTCCTGCTGGCCAAAGATTGGTATCAGGTGTCTGAGAACTGACAGCGACACAAAGCACATGTGGTGAGCTGGGTTTCTCTTGTGAACAGTGCGATTTGCTTCGGAGGGTAAGAGATTCAAGAGGAACCTTATTGTACAAACATCCTCCTTCGTGGCAGTCCTATACTGTCAACACAGTTTTATCAACATTGCATACTGTCATGCTTTCCTACATTCAAGTCTTACAACGCCTCTGAAAATCAGAGCATCCATTTCCCAGTAGAACCTACTGCTTGCCAGCACTGCTGGAGTCCCCATTGATTCCAAATTCACTTACTCTTCTGGCAGATGCAGTGAAGGAGTTGGGCTCAGGTGGTGGTATTTGCTCAGTGATGCTAGGCCTGGTTTCATGGCTGGAGTGGTTGGCAAAGGGCTCTTCCTTCCTTTCTACAATTTTAAACAAGAAGAGAAACCAAATGCTTCAGTATTGTGCTTCCAAAGCCCCTCTTTACAAGCACAGTGTGCACTAGGCTCAAGTTCAGTGTTGCTGTGACCTCAGTACACCTCTGACCAGAGCAGATGTCAGTGCCCAGGTGAACCAGGGCTTTCTGCAAGGAGGCTTCTACTTCTGAACAAATATGATGGATACATTTGCCAGGCAAAGATTTGAACTTCATCCCCACAGACAAGCAGAACCTTTGCAGAAAGCACCCGCAGGAGCACAGATTCTTTGTTGATTCACAGTTTTGTTTCCTCTCAGGGATTGTTCTTCCCTTGTAAAACTTGGGAAGAGCAGAACGTGCCATTCCCAGTGCAGCACATGAGTGCACGTCACAGCACGTGGATGGTGTGTTTCATCACTCGCTTCTGCTGCAGCTCTTTATGCTGGGAGCAGAATTTCTGGTCTTCTACAGCAAAATCCATCTTTCTACATGAAGCCAGAACTGATGCCCAGCATAAAACCCTTTAATGAGGCTCAAAGCAAGCTAAACCAACCCTACCAAAGCTGGCTCCCTGCTTGGTGGACAAGTGCAATCATCCAGGATTACATTGAATTCTTACATCTATGCACCCTGCTTGACATAAGAACATCCACCAAGACATTTCCAGGGCAGAGTAAGTGGAAACTGTGTCTCAGGCAATAGGTTCAGTCATCAGGAGCACACAGGGCTCTAAGGCAGACTATTTACCAAACACAGCCACAAGCAACATGCCTGACATATGATGTACCGACAGCAAGAGGACACCGTTTGCCTCTCGCAGCTCTGAGTGCCTCACGACTCATGGGTTTGAAAAAATAAAGTCATTTGAAGTGTAAGCACCCAAACAGAACTAGGAAATGAGGTATGTGCAGTGCATAAAGATCTGGTGTCACACAGAAAAGCAGTTTGGTATGGAGCATCTGTGAGAATGGCACCTTGCAGCGCGAAGATCAATCTTCGTGAAACGAATGTTCTCACTCCTAGAAAACAGCATTCACAGGACATGGGAAACAGCAAAGAGCAAGCCAAAGATAAAAATAACAGGCAGTTAGCAGGACTGACAGATCCAGAATGGGAGAGACAAAGATGCATCTTCCCTGGGAAGGGCTGCATGATAGTGGAGTCTCAGCCACCTTTCCTTCTCTTGGTATTATCTCAGGACTTCCAAAGTCACCTAAACAGAGTATTTCATCCCTAGAGCCTAAGGCTCAGGTGAACTACACTTTTCAAACAGCCCTTTTAGGACAGGGCAGTAGACTACCCATTTCTCCTTCCAGGCCTGACTTGGCATACAGCAGTCCATGGAAATACATACAGACAAAACATCCCACACTTGCCATGTGCTGAGCTCTTGAGACTGAAGCCTGTAAAACCCAGGAGAAGCCTCGACAGGGCAGGGAGGGGAGAACAGAGCTGACCTGAGGGCCAGCAGGATTTACAGGCTGGGCTGGGTGGTGGCTCGAGCCCGCTCTGGAAGTTTATAGTACAGAGGTCAGCTTTTGAAGTCCAGCCTAATTACAAGGGCACAAGCTGAAGGGGTAATGACAGGCTGGGGAGAACTCTAACTGTGAGCAAGGTGGCCGAAAGGAGCTAGGTGCAGGAGGAGGACAGAGAAAAGCACCTTGTGCTGGCAGCACAAGTGACTGCATGACCAGAGGCATCACTGTCTCCAGGGCAGGATCACACATTGCCTTTTACTGAAGTTCAGCAATAAACATCCCAGACTCCTAGAACTGTAGAATGAACGAGGTTAGAAAAGACCTTTAAGATCAGCAAGTCCAACCTTCACTCCAGGACTGCCAAATCCACCACTAAACCACGTTGAAACTCCAATCAGGGAAACTGGTGTGGATTAGTTCAATGTCCCCAAAGCAAATTAGGTGACACTAAACATTTAGTTCTCTAATTTGGCAGAATTATCTTATTTCTTAAGGGGTTTTGGGGGGGTTTCTTTTAAAACCCAAACCAAAATCCCAAACCAACACTGAAAGGTTCCCTGGCCTGCTTGAACTCACAATAATTACAGACTGGCATGGTTACCAGCACAGACAATGACCATAGAATTTTAGACTGATCTTTCACTTGTTGATATACATCCCAATGGCAAATTGTTAATTGTGCTCACGATGAATAAAGTGGCATTAATGCACTCAGCCTCCTGGGTCTGAAGAACTCATAACAATATTTTGGCCTTTTTTTTCCCCTTCGTCTGCACTTTGGACACTGTAGCACAACAGTTGTCTTCTCTTTGTCCAGCACTGCTCAGAATTACAAAGCCAAGTTAAATCACAGAAGATGATGAAGAGGAATAAGGAAATAATTTCCATGTTTTCAAAAAGGTGCCTCCTGAAGCCATTCGAGCATTTACAGGGTTTAGCAGATAATAAAGCATAATTGCTCCTCATGAAACTAGTAATAATATGACACTTATCATTTCCTATGAAAAGGTCTTGTTGCATCCCTCCTTCTCTTTGGAGTCCTCCTATAACATCTGGGCTGATGTGGCTATCTCAAGATTCAGGTTTTAAGAGGATTACCAACACTGTGCTGCATCCAGTGGGACAAGTCCATGAGCATCGTGCTAGAGACGTAAGAAGTTCACAAGGTAGAGTTCCAGTTCTGACTGGAATTTCTCAAAGGAGCCAACAATCTCTCTGGGAAGGGAGAGCACCAAAGACTGATGCTTAATTGTTCCTCGAATGCTTTCTGTCTTCAACTTGTTTTAGCTTTAGTGGTTTGCAATAGATAAGTATAATGTGCTTTGCTCAGTGAATTAACTCAATAAAAAGACCTGCTTTGGCTTTAGACAAAATTCATGCTGAGTGCTGTAGCTCTTCCCTTGCTGAGGGACCTTATGCTGTCCTGGATCAGTTAAACACCACATAGCTCCACTTCTTCCAGCTCTGGTCAGGTTCCTATCACATTTACAAGCATTGGCACATAGCTGTATAGGACTGCTCTCTTGTAAAACCCTGATTTATGGAGCAAATAAAGGTGATTTCAACACCTCTCATACTGGGATAAACGTGGTAACTGATACCATTAGAATGGAGGTGACAGTTTTATTGGCACAAGAAGTGGGACAAAATTTAAACTACACTTCTCTGCACGAACTTGATGATCTCAAAGGTCTTGTCCAACCTAAAGAGTTCTATGACTCTATAACTTCTTTATTAGTATATTGGGATAGAGGGCAAGTAAGCTTATGTTGAGAGTAGTTTAACCATGAAATATGTAAGTTCAAGATCCAGCTCTCTTTGCAGAAATATTAAGTATGAGACAGTCTTGGCTTACTGCAAAAATAAGTCTCTCCACTCACACTTCCTGTGCTGCACATATAGGCTGTTGCAATTAAGGAAACCACAGAAATTATGGATAAAGAATGGGAGAGGGATGCCAGCATTATGCTGTAATGTAAAGGCTAACGTGACTCCATGTACTTAATCCTTCTTTTCTACTATGTCTTGCAATTATTATACATCAGCATCAGAAAAAAGCTCCTCATCCCTATAATTACACAGAGCAGCTTCAGCCCTTCATTTCATTTCTCTGATCCAAATACAACAGGCTGTTAACTTCCTATATGTTCAACTGCTTTCCTACCAACTCCCAGCAACTGAAGCATTCATCCTGAACCCAGCCAACGAGAAAGAGCCTTCTGTTGAAGAACAGCCTATGGACAGTGAGCTGGAAGTAGAAATTAAAATTCCACCCTCAGCTACAGAGTTTTCCTTATTCTATACGTATACACTGGATGTGAGACTTTCAGGATGTCTTTAAGAACTAAGCAAACTGATCCCCTAATCTTGCTAGGCTAGTTTTTAAATCCAAGGCTGTACCTGATTCCTTTTCAGCATCTGATTCTGAAACTTCATCTTCAGCTTCCTCCTCCTCTTCAGAACTAGAACTGCTAGAGTCCTTGTTCTCTTCCTCCATCTCCATGGACTTCAGTGTGTCTTCCTCATAAAGAATCTTCTCCTTGCTGCAAGACAGAGACATTTCAAGGACTACCAGGCGAGTTACTTCTGAGTTTTACTTCTCAGGAACACACATGATTTGCCACATACAGAATTAAAAAAAGGACAGAATCCATCTACAGACTCAACATCCCAGCACTTCAGCACTGCCCATTTTCCATGGATTCCAACACCAGTCTCACATTTCCTAAATCTGCAAGCATTTCTCAATCCATAGACATGTGGCTTCTCTTCTCCCAGTTCAACCCAACCATTGGCTGGGCTCTGGGCAACTGCAAAGGTGCAGTTCTCAGCCCAAAGTTCAAACTGATGCTCAGCAAGAGCAAGGGACCAAGCACCAGCCCCACTCCTTGTTCTACCACTCAGGAGGGATGTTAAGAAACACTTTAAGTGGTATTGAGAGAGCTCAGATTTAAAAGAAACCATGAAATGAACATGAACAGCAGTGACTGCTAATAGATGAACCTGGGCTCCCAGCACTCCCTGGGTGGATTCTTTACAACAAAGAGGAAAGACGTACTTGGGGAAGAGTCTGCTTTGAGGCTTGCCATTCATGTCAGCTTCAATCAGCTTATTCCTCGTCTCCTTCTCACTTCGCAACTGTCAGAAAGTCCAAGGAGATTGGAGAAAGAATGAAAAGAGACATGTTAACAAACCACCTCTGCACCATCCAATAATTATCACAGCATAAGGTCATCCCACCCTCATGGAGTTGTCTAACAAGCCAATGTAACAGATGCACATCTGCAGGAGCACTGGATGTCCTGGACTACAGCTCCACACCAGCATGTCCTTAGACTCGAGCTGCAGTTTAATAACACCTTCAGAGAAGCCAGCAGCAGTGACCTGAAGCCAAATCCCATTTCAACAGCACTGCCCTGCACCTGCCCATGCAGACCCAGCACAGAGGCTCTGTCCACACTGTTTGTATGCCCAGGAAATCAGGCCAGATTCAGTTAAAAACCTGCTGCCTTTGTAGCTATTCTTGACTTGCTCCCAGAGGAAAGCATTCCCCCCACAAGCAGCCAACGGATCTCCCATGAGGATGGTGCACTTCTATGCCTCTCAAATGCCAGCATTAAGTCATGGCACAAGAATACCTGTGATCATCACAGCCACTGAAATATTCGGCCCAGAGAGCAGCAACATTCATTTTGTCACTACTGATGGGCAAAACAGTAACCAAAAACTGGTATCAGTACCTTCCAGAAGCACAGGCACAGCAGAGGTAGAAAAAGGGATGGCAATCAGTGTCTCACTTCTAAGGCTGTCTCTGTGTCATGTCTAGCCTAGTTTTCTTTCTCCTTTGATAGGAACTGACATCAGGCACTAGCAGCAAAAGCTCTGCAAATCCTGAATGTGGGAGAAGCCACATGGAGTGCAGCAAGGAGACAAGATTTAGGGTAGAGCATGGTGCAAAACAGAACTGCTGAAGCACAGTGAAGGGGAGTGCAGGAAAGAGCCTGCTCCATTCACAGGTCATTCAGAGACTGGGAGAAAAAGTCCAGACCCAAACAAATTGCTTCCAGCAAACAAAATCTCCCCTTCCCTCCAATAACAGCAGCAAATCTTTTAGCAAGGATGGGATGTTGTTCTGCTACAAGCTTTAGATTAAAACAAAATCTGATTTGAGAAGTATTTTGAAAGTGAAATAATGTAGTTGGAGAAATCACAGAATCCCAGCCTGGTTTGGGTTGGAAGGGACCTGAAAACTCATCCAGTTCCAATCAACTGCCATGGGCAGGGAAATCTTCCACTAGAGCAGGTTGAACTACTTGCTGCAGCCTTATCAAATGTACAGTTTCTATTTGAAGTGATAAAATGACACATGCCAAATACACAGGATAAAATGGCATATTATGACAAAAATCATATCCACTAAAACCAAAGTGTGATTAAACCTGGCTTCTTCTCTTCTCCACAGTTCTACAATAGCTAATAAATGGAGAAGGCTTTTTTATAGTGCTGCTGTATAGAACAAGGGGGTTGCCAACCCTGGGAAGCAGGACTGACAATTTTTGTCTTTGTTTTGCTGCTTCCTTTTCTTTTCCACTGAGGAGGGCAGTTATCTGCAGCACCCTGATGCAGTGAGATCGGAGGAAACCCAAACCACAACACCGAGTATTTATCAACACCTCATTTAGGGAGAAGCTGATTAATCTGTAAGAAGTTGCAGTGAATGTTCAGGATGCTATTTAGGGATGGCAGCAGCTGTGTTGTGAGCAGAGCTCCAGCTCTGCCACCCACATTGTCAGTTCCTCAAAATACTTCACTGGGTTTTATCAGCAGTGTTCTCATGATGTCTGGTTCTGGATCCAACTGTTTCAATGATACTCACTGATTGATTTTTGTTTTAATAAGAAGGCTGGTTTGTTTTTTTGGGAACACCCAAATGGGATAATTGTAGAGACCACATGAAACAGGAAAAAGCACAATCCAAACCCAACGTTCTGGCTTTTTTTGGGATGGAGATATATTTCTGCTTTCCTTTTTTATGTCAAGTCTCTGCTTATAACCCCTTCCAATCTCTCCATCGCATTATGAAATGGCAATTTGAAATGGTTTTGAAATCACCATTTCTTTTAGTCCAGAATTCCCTGGAGTTCGTAATTCCTTCTCACTCAGAAGTCTCCCTGTTGTAAGCAAGGCAGACATGGCAACAGATCTCTCTCAACAGTGGCAGCAGATTTCCTTGGATGTAAACACAAAGGTGACTTGGGTAGTAACTCAGTAAGAGCAGTTTGATGCTCGAGAGCTTGCCAGCTAACAAAAGGAACTGCAGCATTGTAACTCCAAAGATGAACTAGACATGCCTTACCAGTTTGCATCGTTCTGTGTGTCAGCACCTTGGTGCTGACTGACCTTGGTGCAGTCACCCAGTTTTCCAGATTTCTGGCTAGTAAAAATATTGGTGTAATTAAAGATTCCTAATGACTAACATAAAAAAACCCAGCTGGGCCTCAGCTTCCTGCGTCTGTTGATGCCACATGTCTTAGAGAATACCCGTGCATGAAAAGGTAATTGGAGAGGTGGAAAATGATCTGCCAGAAACTCACCACAGTCTGTTTCTTCTGCAGCATTTCTAAATGCTCCACCAGGCCCTCATCAGCCACGTCGAACGGTGTCTGGCCCTGAGGCAAGGAGAGAAGACAAGAGGATATCCGATACAGCGTGGTGTTAGTATTCACCAGTGAAGAACAAAAGTGAACATGCTCCACACCCTCCCTCCCAAGCACTGAGTAACATACTCTGCTTCACTCCAGAGTAGAGAAAGCCACACAAAAGTGATGGCAGCTTCGTGACTCAATCCATGATCAGAGCAACCTTAATCATGGAAGGGTGGTTTCCTGACTGCTGCTGCTCAAAAATCTAACAGCCAGGACTAACAGATCTGAGTGTCCACGTATCTATAAAGGACACTCTTGTAGTGATAAGGAAAGTGAATAACCTGCTCTACTGTATCATGGTGTATTTGAACGTCCTGAAAGGCTGCCAGTCATCAGCGAGCCATTGTCATGGCGTTAGATCAAGTGGTGGGCGATAAAGTTGATATTAATCTGGCTATCAAACAGATTACACAAGTTGTGCCAACACCTGTGCATACTAACCAGCTTGTTCCTGATGTCCATATCACACAGGGCCTCAGCCAGGATGGAGCAGGCTTCCTTCACTCCCCAGTGCGCCGCAGCATGGAGCGGTGTCCACCCATCATTGTCCTGGACATTCAAGTTAAACCCAGCCTGGATCAAGAGCCTGGGGAAAGAAGCAATATTGATTTCTGCCCACCCAAGAATGGCTTCTTGTCACAGCCGAGTTCCCACCGTGAGCCACAGGGTAGTAGCACAGTGCACAATAAGCCTGTAGTTTCTTGTTTATTCACCTCAGCAACATCCCACTTGATGTGCTTGCAACTGCAACAGGAAAGGGCAGTAAATGAAAAGTGACTTCACTGTAAAACCTGCTGGAATATGTCTAAGTGATAAGGTTCCCTTCCAGCACATCCTAAATTGGGAGAACACCTTAATTTCTAACCTGGTGTCAGTGACCCAGGCTGAACTCCTGCTTTGATGGACGAGACACCAGAGTCGCTGGGCACTAAGCAAACATCCCTGCTGACTGCCATCTCCACAACAAGAAGCCAAGCCCAGTACCTGGCAGGAAAAGGACATTTGGTAACTGGAGCTCAGTCTTGGCTCTACCAGAGAGCCAGGCCACACTGCAGGAATGGTCCCTGAGGAGACAGTGCCTGGTAACACAGTGACATTACTGTGACTGACAGATGTGAAATGTGTAGGTTAAATAACCCACATTTGGGTTAAATTACCTAAAATGCATTTCTGCAGACTAGTCCTTGCACACTCTGAGATTACACAGAGTGCTTCATAGCATGTGGAGCTTGAATATTTAAAACCAAAGCAAACAGAAGAGAGTCAACTGCAGTCTGAAGCTTCAGAGGCACATGCCTGCTGTTATACCAGTGATTAGATGGAAGTACTGAGCAGTTCATGTATCAAAACTATTATCCAAGTTGCTTAAATACTAAAGAACATCCCAGGGGAATATTGCAAGTCCAGTAAAACTGCTACTGAAAATTTCCATTGTGGGTAATTCCAGTATCCAGAGGCACCTTCCTGCAGCACAAGTGAAATCCAGCAGAGCCCCAGAATGGCAGCAGCAGTTTGGAAGCTCCTGCAGCTCTACACCAATGTGTTACCGTGCTAAATAAAACCCAGTCACACTCTAGCAGCAGTGAAAGAAATTTTAAATTAGATGCTAACTTTATGTTGGTTTTCAAGCTGGCAAAAGGGAGGAACAGAGCTGCTGAGAGCCTCAAGGTCACAAATTCCACATCTCAGTTGTGAGTTCACGAGCTCCTGGCTCTCGGCCCCTTTGGTTTAAGTCACTGAAGCTTCCTATGTGAACTTACAGATAAATACACCAGAGGGAAACAATGTCAGCTTTCTGTGAGATCTGTTTATCTTTGTAACAATTAATGTCAAGGAATAGCTGTCCAGAACCAAGTCACCCTGCACACAGTGAATACTTCTTGAGGAGTACAAGACATACAACCCTCCACCGAAAGTCCTCGGGACCAACACCTCAAATTCAGGAGATATTACATTTCTAGTCCACACAGTCATGCCACTTAAAACTATGAAATCAAGGATCAAGATAGATGAACACTTCCAGAAAGGATTTTAATACGGAAAATAGAGTAACCTTGCTGATGTTTACGGGCAGCTCCACCCAGACATAAAGAGTAGAGAAGAAAGCTTTATTATTGGGAACCTAAACTTGACCTTACCTGTGAAAATATTAATGCTTCATGCCCATTAAACACTACATTGGGCAAGTTTCTGCTCCTAAGCAGCTTGTTTGTGCCAGAGCAGAAGCAGAAGTGTTACATGTGGGGATCCCTCTGTCACTGCTGGTGGCTGCAGGAGCAGTAGCATTAAGGAGCAGAGGACAGTGAGCTAGGGGTGGATGCTGCACTCTTCCACCAGTCTGGTCATGTAAGGTGCTGGGGTGTTTGTGCTTGTCATTCAGCATGCATTGCCACTTTATAGGCTGAAAACTCACTATGAAACAAATTTCTCTCACCTAGAAAGCTAATTCACTGCACCAGCCCTGGGCAGGAGCTCCTACCTCATGACTTCAGAATAGCCCTTTGCTGCAGCGACGTGAAGAGCCGTGGCGCCCGTGCGAGGCTGCTTTGGATCTTCAATCCTCCCACTGTTCAGCCACTGTCGGGCATCCTGCAGCATCTGCTGCTCCTCTTCTTTTCTTGCCAGGTCTATGTCTACACCTAAGAGGGTGAAGCACAGAATAAGAGCTTGTGAAGTGAAAGCTCTCATGGACTTGTTAAACTTACCCTGTTTCACTTGCTGTGCAACATTACTGACTCATTTGTATTCATCCACAAACAAAAGCATCTTCCAGGAATTGGAGAACTCCTGCATCAGTGACAGCACCTCAAAGCTGTCTGACCTAAAAATCTGAAAGTTGAGCCACTGGTTGCAAAGCAGCCCAACCAACAGCTCAGCTGTGAGCTATGGGTGGAAGGGCTGCATTCTAAATACACAGTGTCCTAAACCGAAACAACAAAGTCACAAACAACAGCTTAACTACAGTGACAGTATAATGAGTATCATCTACAGTGAAGATCTGGAGAGATGATCTCTTGCAAGAGCAGCATGGCCCCAGCTGTATGCTCACTCAAAACTCAGTGCAATCTGCAGGCTACATTGAGGTCATGTAAGGATGATCTATCAATCAGAAGCTCCATACAAGGTTGATCAGCCTAGAGCTTGCTGACACAGGAAAAAATCATGAAGGAGAAGATGAGAAATCTCAGCAACCAAGGGTGCTGAAGAGCAACTGTCCCCAGGGATTAGTTCTTTCAGTCTAACAATGATGTGATTCCAAATTAAATTATGGTGCATTGGATTTAATAGAGAACAAAGGAAAACACCAACTCGGAGCCTGAGCTGTGAAACCCACTGCCACAGGATGCTGCAAAGATTAGAAATACAACTGGCTTCAGAACAAGGATTAGACAAATTTGTAGTTATTAAGCACAATGCTATACATGCCAGAGCTCCCAGGAAGGACTCTGCAGGTTCATGGAACAGAAAGCCATGGGGGGATTCACGAGTACACACAGGGCCCATCTGGCTCAGGAATTCCTTGAGGCACAGTGGCTGGAGGCTGGGAAGGGGAATCATCCACGCTTCTCCTGCTGTTGCAGTATGCAGCAGGCATCTGCTTACAGCTATTGCTGAAGAGAGGCTGCAGAGCTGGATGATGCTTATTTAAAGTTCATACCACATTTACTCCAGAAGTTATGAGCCTTTCAAACTGTGTCAATGGGAAGCTTCTCGGTGGAGACAGATGGTTGTTTCAGGGCATCTTAGCAGGATGCCATTAACGTGGCGAAGCAATGAAGAGCCCAGCAGAATCCCAAGAAGTGTCAGACCAAATGTCTGCAGCTGAGGCAGAATTACTGCCTTGATGTCCTGTGCAGTTCCAACCATGTTATGACCAAGATCAGGTTCGAGACCATCTAAGGAACCTGAAGGTGCACAAGTCCATGGGACCTGATGAGATGCATCCACGGGACTGAGGGAACTGAGAAGTCGTGGCAGTCTGGTGAAGTTCCCACTGACTGGAAAAGGGGAAACATAACCCCCATTTTTAAGAAGGGAAACAAGGAAGACCCAGGGAACTACAGGCTGAGGTTACAGCATTGGTGGATAAGGGAAGAGTGACTCGTGTCATCTACCTTGGCTTCTGCAGAGCATTTGGCACTCATACAACATCCTCATCTCTAAACTGGAGAGACATGGATTTGATGGATGGACCACTTGGTGGATAAGCAATTGGCTGGATGGTTGCACTCAGAGTTGTGGTAAATGGCTTGATGTCCAAGTGGAGACCAGTGATGAGTAGTATTCCTCAGGGATCAGTACTGGGACCAGCAGAAAAGCTGGAGAGGGGCTTTGGACAAGGGATGTAGGGACAGGACAAGGGGGAATGGCTTTAACCTGCCATAGGGGAGACTGGGATGAGCTCTTAGGCAGAAGTTCTTCCCTGTGAGGGTGCAGAGAAGCTGTGGCTGCCCCATCCCTGGCAGGTTGGACACAGGGGCTTGGAGCAACCTGTCTGTGGCAGAGCAGGTGAACTGCAGAGAAGTCTACGGAAGGATCAGGATAAAGCAGATCACTCCAGGCCAGGCACACTCATTTCCTGGTCGCTACTCTTGCAGGGCTGTAAATCTCACCTCTGTGTTACCAAGTCTTAGTGAAACAAGACCTTTCACTGACACCAGAGGTCAGAACTAAATATTACTTTAAAAGCAAAGAGATCTAATGAATTAGATTTCAGTACCATGGTGTCTTGCTTTGAAGAATCCTAAGGACAGAGGCTGCACACCACAAACCTTCTGCATCTGTTCCACTGTTCTGATACCAAAGAAAATCTGCCTGCTGCCTCCTGGGCCAGACTGCAGATCTCTTCACCTACAGACAGTAAGCCAGCAGAATCTTCTTATAGAAAGTCTTAGAGGTCTCACTCTGCTGATTACCTTGTTTCTTCACTTGTTCCAGAAGCAGGTCCTTCATGGCTGCTTCCTCTGCGATGTCTGATGGGACCTCACCTTCACTGTTCACAGCTGCCACATTGGCTCCATGACTAATTAAGAACCTGTGGGATCAAGACCCATACCAATGTGTTAGACCTTGTGTGCAGGCTTCAGGGCAACCAGTACAGTAAATCAAGCAGCAGAACAAGATACTTGGCTTTCTCATTCAAGTTCCACTACCAAATGAGTACCTTACTCTTATCAAATTTCTAGGCTAAAAAAGTTCATTGTTAAATAAAAGCAAACTGATAAAGGATCATCCAAAGAGCTGAGAATTGTTCTAGGAGGAGTACAACACCCAGAAATACATGAGCCACAGAAGATGGCTCGTTGGGTTTTGTTAGAATATACTGTAGAGGACTATCTTGAGAAATCCTATTGTTTTCCCCTATTCTTCTAACCTATAATGCAGCTTTCACCTGAGAAAAGTTATTTCAGTTGTGAAACTACCATTTATATTTGCCTGTTCTTTGGTTCTAGTTATTCTAGGACTCCAGGTCGCACATTTGAGCAACTCTCAAGCTCTCAGAGCAACTTGTTGGTGCACAACGAGTAGTCTGGTATCAGAATCTTCTCTGGGACAAACCAGCTGTTAGTCCTTTGTGAGCATAATGAACACTTGGATCAGATACAGAATGTTATTTCAAACCCAGGAATCAGAAACTGTGCCAAGAAGAGTCAAATCTTTGTTGGGAGTCACTTATAGCAGGTTATTGCTTTGCTTTAAACATCTACTGGACAAAACTGTTATATTTACTGTCTCTTCTTTCATATCTATTTTATGTTTGTGCTCTCTAGATCATCTTATCTCTCTGCCAAGCCATAGAATTTCACCTGGTTATGTCCAAGCTGAGCCCAGTATCTTGTGTTGTAAATGAAACAACAAATAAAAGAAGATAATGCTCCAGTTGTAAGTGGGTTAAGTAACAAACAGTTACTTTTACCTACTTCTCCACCTCTTGTGAGACGGGATGCAAGAAACAAACATATGATCTGAATACAAAGAAAGAACAGATGCTGTTGGCATATTGGTGAGTGTGGAGCCCAGAACATTGCACTTCTCTCTCCAGAGTCTCCACACAACTGCAGCACTGCTCACACAGGCCTGCCCATGGGAAGAAAACATAGCTGCTTTCCAAGGGTAAGCCCTGGTGCATCCCCCTTTGCACTGTTTCAGTACACCATGTATCTCCTGTTTGGGGTTCAGCATTGCTTCCCAAGACACTGTGTAAGTCTCAGAGCATCAACTGCCTGTGTTCCTGCTCCAAAGAGAAAGACCTGGAAAGTGTTATAAATACCCAGAACAGCCTGAAACTCACTCACTCTGCTATGTTCAGATAGCCACATGATGCCACGGCATGAAGAGGGGTCCAGCCCTCGTTGTCTTGCTGGTTGACATCAGCTCCATTTTCTACAAGGAACTTTACCATGTCCAGGTTCTCATCTATACAGGCCTGAGGGAGAAGGGGAGGGAGGACATCCAGGGAGGGAAGGATTGAAGAGAAAGAGAAGAGAGAAAAAAAGTGTTGGTGTTAAAACAAGTGTAAAACCTCCATGTGCATTTGGCAGCAGGGAATTTCCTGGGCTGTATTTCCCACTAAGGAAACTAAGGATACTTTTAAGGTACCACACTTTTGGCATCATGAACTGGTGAGCTAAAATACATTAATTGCAGAACTTTCCAAAATTAGCTGTAGCTCAGAGAGTCCCCAGGTGGACAACCTCTAAATCTGCTCAGGCTTCACTGCTCACCCTCTGATCTGTTTCCTTCCTCTCTCCCACTCGCTGGAGTGAGGACACACTGTAAAATGATATATCTGCATTAGTTTTAGGTATGGCATCAAATTCCTGTAAGCAAGGCTAGCCATGTATTTATTTAGATAACACTGTTCCCTCTGAATGTCGATGAAATGACACTGTAACACTGAACAACATGAGATACCACTAGTGGTAGGGATCAGAAGTGAAAGCATGAGCTCAAGGAGCCTGAGCAAAGCAGAACATCTGTATACTGGATGTTGCCCTTCCCAGATGTAACCATAGCAGGAGCAGAATTTTAGAGAGGTTAACAACATGCAGCAGGATCTCTTCATTTTCCTGTGTATAACAAAGCCCAACTTTCCCTGTCAGCTCCACAGACCCTGTGAGCTACTGAGGAGAACGACAACCCTATATTAGCTGCTGCATTAAGTCCAGAGCCTGCACCCACAGAGACCTGCCAGCTTTGAAGCTGCCAGAAGAAAACCTAGCTAGATTTTCAAGCCTCAGCAGTTCTGTTGGGTGGAATTCCTTCTTCCTCAAGTTCCTGGCTACAGCACGTTCAGCATTGCATTTACAGTTGAGTGGAAGCTGCTATTTAAGGATGAGCTGGCAATTTAATACATACATCCCAATGCACGTGCCTCAGCTGAGAAGCACCAAGCAGGACCAGGAGGCTTTTACTGCATGTCCATCTACAGGCAGAAACCCAGTTCCTCATTATCAGAGAGGGAATCAGCTTGGGTGAAATTCCTCCAAAATCTCAGCACTGGATCCTTCTGCACAGCTTGATGTGGGCACATCACCAGTCTGAGCACGCTTCTAAAACAAGCAGCCCCAGCTACCCATTCCTATCCTAGCAAGTAATGGAAATGAGGAACTTGTCTCTAAGCAGCACAGGAGACAACCCTGTATTATCCAACATGTTCATCCATGCTGCATTTCAAAGGAAAGCCCTGCCTACACCGGGACATCGACATCCACCTTGTCATTTCTACTGCAAGCACAAGCTCCAAATAGCCTTTAACCTGCACACACCAGTTACTCCTACATTTGCTTAGTTTACAAGCAGCCCTGCAACAGACTTAGTGTTTAAATCTCTATGGAAGCACACTCCAGAAAACTACCTCCTCGTACAGTGACTTCACAAACATGAGAACACGGAGGGAATATACATGGCAGTAGGAAAGGGGTCCCACCTGAGCCTGTGCTGGAGTGTTAATGTGTTCCCTGGCCCTGTTCTAGCCTGGTGTACCTTCACCTTTGCCAGAAAAGCACAAGTATAATGCTAGAAATAGTTTACTACAGAGACTGATCCTAACCCAGAATGGACGAACCTGCCCCTGGGTTGGCTCCATCCACCCTGCTTGGTCCATCACCACTATCCCACCCTCAGGCACAAACCAGCTCCATCCTGTAACCCCAGCTCGGGAGGAGCTGCCCTTCTGCTATTTCAGCCAGTAGAACTATAAAAACCTCAAAACAAAAAAACCCCAACCTCCCCAAACCAAAACTCTTGGGGACTGCAGAGCCTCACACCAGGGTTGGTGGAGTCCCAGGTCCAAGCACAATGGGGTAGGACAGCGTCAGGTCTGAGCAATGTGGATGCAAAGTTGCTTCTACCACCAGGTTCAGATCATCTGGTCTAAGCCCCTGCTCAAAGCAGGGCTAAATCTGATCTTAGATCCACTTGCTCAGGGGCCTGCTCCAGCTGGTTCTTACTGTCTGTGAGGATGGAGACTCCATGGCTGGTCTGGGCCCTGTCCCAGTGCTTCACCATCCTCTCGGTGCGTTGGGTTTTTTACTATCTAATCAGGATTTTCCTTGCTGCAACTTACACCCCCTGCTACAGGAGTACAGAGGCAGCCTCCATGTCTCAGCAGGCAATGAGAGCAGGAAACACAAGCCAAATATTCCTACTAGACTGTGCCCAATACGCATGTGATTAATTTTAAGACATACTCCAGAAGGGATCCACTCCTGAATATCCCTGTTAACAAACCTGTTAGAGGCTCCCATCCATACCAACACATTCAAACGCAGCAGGAAGGTAATGTATGCAATGCACACAGAGGTGGACATGGATACACAGAGGAACATCATAATCCCTCTTCAGCTCAAGAGGCAATTCTTTGGGAATTTGAGTCTGAGCCTGCAAAACTCGGAGCTAATCTGTTACTACCACTCACATCGCTTAGGATGCACTTCAAGCTTCCCCCCCAACACAGCTCAAGTAAATGACACTTAGAATCTTACTGATGAGTTACTTCCATCTGCTCCAAGAGCAGGGCACCCATCCGTGCTTCCTGTCGAGCACAACCACTTCTGCCTAACAAATTAGAGCCTGGAAGAAGCATTTTATCAGCATGGCTCTGCCCAAGCACCGAGGCAGACGGTTCATGCCTGTGCACACTCACTGCTCTGCTCTATTTGCTTAAGTACTACCTGCAGCTGGAGTATAAATCTAAATTTAGCCTGATGAATGGCTCTATATGGTGAGCTTTGGACAGATTTGATAAAGAATTATGTGTACATTGTTTATCATTCAAAACACCCAAATACACCCACTACATGTGCACCAACTGGGAACTGCCAAGAGAGAAGACCAGTTCTTGCTCAAACAACTGGATGTACTGTTTAGATGCATAAAAGAGCCCCCCCCTTAAAATTTATTGGCCTTGTTACTGTGCTGGTCCCTGTCTCGTGTGGTTCCCATGGAATGCATGCTGGAAACAGAAGGGATAATGGGATCAAGCCCACCTGTTCCTACACAGAAATCTGACTCGCCTGGCTCCGGAGGAGATAGAAGTGACCAAGCTCCACGGGTGCTGGCACTCACTCCTTCCCTAAGGGAACTGTAATGCACTTCAGGCTGCTTGCATTTGCCATGGAAATAAAGTCAAGCACAAAGGTGTAGTAAGTCCTTATGGGAGCAGCCATGTCCCACCATCACCCCACCCTTCTGCACCTACATATGAAGGCAAACTGCTGCTCACGGTGTGTGATCAGGCAGCGTGGCACTGCTGGGCAAATATTTATTTCACAATCAGTTAGTGCCACAGAAGAACAGACACGAGCCCAGAGTCAAGCAACAGGAACAGATTAAATGACTTGAGGCTGGGTGAACATGAGCAGGAAGGACCAGAGAGTGAAGTGCAAGGACTTTCTGCATCTTGGTTATATTTATAGAATCCCAGAGCGGTTTGGGTTGGAAGGGACTTAAAGCTCATCCAGCTCCAGCCCCCTGCCATGGGCAGGGACACCTTCCACTAGAGCAGGTTCCTCCAAACCCCTGTGTCCAACCTGGCCTCAGAGAGAAAAGTCCATCTGGCAAAGCAAAACGGGTGACCTGAGGTAACTGGAGGAAGGAGAAGAGGACAGAGAGGAAGTAAAAGGGATAGATGTGTCCTCCTTTAAGTACTATTAATCCTCCAACCTTAAATTTAGGAGAGTGGATAACTTCAGTAACCTGAGAGGATCTATCCCTATGCAAAGTTCTCCTCTTTTATGTGATGCAGCGTCCCTTTGGGAACATTGTACGAATAGCTGCACTGGCCAGCAACATTGCAATGCAGACACGAGCCCCTCCAGCCTCCAAAGGGAGGAAAGCAAGTCAAAAAGAAGCTGGTTGAGAAGTAACATTGCCTTTTCAGTGGGTTATTTAATGTGAGGAAGGACTCCCTCACCTAAACTGCCCTTGAAATCGCTTCACAAAGAAAAACATACCCATGAATAGGCTTCATTTCAATTTTAGGCACTGCTAACCCTCAGCTGCTTGGTTACCCATGAGAAGAGGCTAAAAGCGAGGTTAAATACCGAGTGCTATGTTTTGAACTCCTTATCTTCTTTCCCTGTAAAAAACACAGTACAACCTTCCAGGCGATGCGATCGGGGGGTGACTTGTTCCCTCAAACTGGAGGCCTCCAGCAGGCCAATCTCTTGCCATCCTTGTATCTTCCTTGGCTGATGGTTAGCTTCAGGTGCTTCAGGAACAGCACTAACAGCTTACAGTTTTAGCAGTCTTTGCTGCAAACCGCAGCCAGTGCCCAGCATCACCCACTCGAACCGCCCGAAGTTGGCTCAGAGGATTTAAATCCCAGGCATCGCCGGGCAAATCTCCATCCGCAGCTCGTGGTGTTCCTCCAGCTCCTGGCAGCAGCCCAGCATTAGCAGTTTTTCCATCGGGAGGAAGTGCTCAGCTTCTAAATGTGCAGATGGGGGGTGCTGGCCTCCCCTCGCGCGGGGACACTCGCGGCACATTGCAGGCGTTCCTCTGCCAGCAGCCCCTGCCAAGGCTTGCTTCTGTCAGCATGAAGTTGACATTACAATAACGAAACGGGGGACACCAGGAAACGCCATAGAAGAGCTCTGCAAACCTCTGCTCGCCTGGCAGAGCTTGTTCAACAGCCAGGCAAGAGCTGATCTTTATCTTGAATGAAGCCTCATTACTGCCATAGCGCTGCCAGTGTTTGCTGCTTCCCTGCAGCAAACCGAGCACACAAGTGTTGAGCTGTTGATGAGTATCAGCAACGCAACAGCTCCAGCTGCCTGCCAGGGCTTTGGGTTTGCATATCTCCTGGGCATCCCCACAGGTCAGCAAGAGGAAGATCAAGGAGTAAAATCATAGTAGATCAGGCCAGGTTGGATGGGGCTTGGAGCAGCCTGTTCTAGTGGAAGGTGTCGCAGCCCA